TTGCCCATTTTTGGATTGGAATGTTTGTGTTTTTGGTGTTGAAGTTTTCTATAAATTTTAGAGATAAGCCAATTCCTCATCAGACACTTCATAGCCAAATACTTTTTTTTTTTTTTTTTCTGATCTGTAGATTCTCTTTTTACCCTTTTGGAGAAGTCTTTCAATGGACATAGAATTTAATTTTTAAAAAGTCCCAGTCATCTAGTCTCTCTTCTGCTGCTTGTGCATTTTGGGTTATGCTTGTTGTTGTTGTTTGCCACCGAGTTGGACCCAACTCATAGCGACCCCTCCTTGGGTTTCTGAGGCAGTATCACTACAGAAGTAGATTGCCCCATCTTACTTCCGAGGAGCAGTTGGTGGGTTTGAACCGCCAGCCTTCTGGTTAGCAGTCAAGTGTCTTAGCCACTATGCTACCAGAGCTCCTGGGTTATGCTTGATAGTCTATTTATGCCATAAATTAGAGTCCCTAGATTTGCCCCTATTTCATCTTTGATGAACTTTATGATTTTGGGTTTTATATTTAAGTCTTTGATCCATCCTGAGTTTGTTTTTGTGTATGGAGTGAGGTAATGGATCTTGTTTCATTTTTCTGCAAGTAGATATCCAATTTTGCCAGCACCATTTGTTAAAGAGGCTATCTCTCCCCCATTTAATGGGTTTTGGCCCTTTGTCAAAAGTTAGCTGTCCATAGGTGGATGGGTCTATTTCTGGGTTCTTGATTCTGTTCCACTGATCTGTTTGTCTGTCATTGTACTACTACCATGCTGTTTCCACTACTGTGGCTGTACAGTAGGTTCTGAGATCAGGGAGTGTGAGACCTCCTACTTTGTTTGCCTTCTTCAGCAGTGCTTTGATGATCTCGTTCCTTTCCATATGAAGTTAGTGATTGGTTTTTCCATTTTCCTGAAGAAAACTGAAGTACATCATGTTTACTGTGGATGACATAGGCAAAACAAAACTGGACTTTATTTCTACCAAACCAAACAAAACCCATTGCCATCAAGTTGATTCCAATCCCTAGGGACCCTGTCGGGTTTCCAAGGATGTCTGTGTTTACAGAGGCTCACTGCATCTTTCCCCTGTGAAGCAACTGGTGGGTTCAAAACACTGACCTTTTGGTTAGCAGCCAAATGCCATAGTTAAATTAACCACTGCACCACCAGAGCTCTACATTTCCACCACCATAGAAAAAAATCATTGTTACCATTTAAGTATTTTCCCTTCCAGTCTTCTTCTTTTTTTTAAATGCCCTCTTTTTAAAAAGCAACTTTGAGATATTAAATATAGGCTCATTTGTCACTTACAAGTGCCATGTAGGTCCAACCTAGACTTTCTAATTGATGGTCTGGGGCAAGTGTAGTCTGTATTTAAGGAAGGGCAGGGAGATATGGATATTTTGCAGGTTTTCTCTTGCTCCTATGCCATTCCTTTCATTTTTGTTTAAAAATAAAAAGCTTAAGTCCTCCTACTGTCAAGACTAAATGATTCAAGTTTTGTATGTGGCTTTTTTTTTGGTTCACTGAAGGAGAATGTAAGATGCCTTGTTATGAACATTTACTGTAATGCTTTCAAACCATATATGCGTAAACCACAGTACGATGTTGGAAAATTTGGGTTTATAAACAGAAATGTAGAGATGTATGAGATATGTAGTAAACAACTTCTCTTAAGATAGCTGTGCACCTGCGTGCAGTGATAACATAACATATAGCTAAATCTCTGTAAGAAGGTCTTCAGACATTAAGTCATAAACAACCTCCTTAATCTCTAACTTTAAAGATGTTATGTACAGTTAATCTCTTGGAGAAGAAAGTATAACACACTAGTCTTTGTTAGACATTAGATGTCTGGCCCTTATCATGTGGAGTCAAGTTGAGAAAATCATACATAAGCCATGGACTTGAGAATACTCACAGAAGGCAGTAGCAGACTTGCCTCCTGCTGGCACACTTGTACACAAGCTATAGGACCTCCACTAAGCACAAAGCATAGTCAAATCTTCCTCCTATGACGAACGTCTGAAATCTAAAGATTTAGACTCTGTGTAAGTAATCTTTTATTGTTATGATTCTCCAATCCTAACTGAATGTCTTATGGTCTTACTTGTATAGTCTTGCCATGACTACCTCGCAATAAACTAAAGGAGGTCATGCATGATAAACTTTAGCATTTATTTACTTAATTTTAAAATTAAATCACAGAGGGAATGCCTATTTTCTATAAAGGTTGAACAAATATATAAATTGATTGGGTCTTTCTTAAGATTGTTCATACCACTCCCAAACTTAGCAATAATTAAACACCCAAATAAATTGTGTTATCTTCCAACCCCAGGGGGTTAAGGTTAGTGACTTTCTGGATTTCAGACTGGTTTGTCCTATTACATGGAGTGATGGTTTGAAAACACAAGCATGAATAACTAATTTCTTTTGAATTATTGACCAATAAAACTAAGTGCAACGAACAATAGTTTATTTATTTAAAAAAAAGAAAAGAAAAAAAAAACCCCGACTTTTTACTACATCTTATAGATTAAGTAAAAATACCAGTATTAATATATATGTATATACATACCGCATATATATATATGCATATGATATAACATTACAATTACATGCTTCCCAGGACAGAAGAATTAGGACACGTTCCCTCATATCAATTTTAAACTCTATCACATTTAAAATCACTGCAAGAAAAATTGCTTCCTTTATTTTCTGTCATTTGTTTTTTAAACTTCAAGTACAGGAAGTTGTCAAACCAGGATCTAAATGTGGAAACGCATCTGCTATGCACAAATGACAACAGACTACCACAGACGGTGAGTCGGGGTCTTCTGGTTTCTTACACAGGTCTCCGTCCACTGTGTCAACCTTCTACCTGAGAGGACAGGGTATGATGAAGTGTGACAGGTTTCATGGGGATGGTCACATTGATGTTTAAACAGAAGCAAATGCAAAAATGTCTTACAGCAACAACACTGGCCATGACATCACCCAGAAGGAGGATTCCTTTCTCCCCTTTCCTTGCCAAATGAAACACTAAGATTGCCGGGTAAAAAAAACTCAGAATGAAGCACCTCTGGGGATGATCTGCATGCAGCAAGGACAGAGAGGTAGGTTTCTTTCACGACAGCGCCTGACTGCCCCAGATGATTTCAAACACACCCTCTTTTGCAAAAGGCACTCACATAATGTCTGTTTATAAATCATACAGTGGGATTCCAGCATGGGAGTTTTCCCTACAAATACAAAAGAGATAAGCATAGGAGATAGTGTCACAAAGAAGAGTATAAGAAAGACACATTTTCGATCAATGTGTGTGTGTGTTTTTTTTCTTTAAAAGGACAATCAATAGAGTTAAAAAAAATCTCATTGAAAAGTTAGGAATCCCAGTAAAATGATCAGTAAGAAGCAAGGTGTTGGAGGACAACATACAGACTCCGGAACACTGAGAGGAGATACACTAGCTTTTCAAATGGCCAAAGTAAAGGAAGCCAGTCTGCATGTGAACTAGCAAGACCACTCACATACAATGGAATGTGTGAGAGGAAGGGAGGTAGTGGTAGAGAACAGGTGAAGGAGGAAGAAGGGGGGTGATCCTTCAGCAGGTAAGCATAAGAAGGTATGCACCCAGAGGTTCCCGTGGGAAAGGTGGGCTGGGCTGTATCGCCTTTGCTTGTGCAGTTGTAAGAGACCCAAGGCAAAGGCTGCCTTCACCGGGACACCACTGAGCTAATGGAATTATAGGAAGTGCCACTGTTGCAGCTGGAGGCATAGGCCTCCTGGCCATTGACATCGAGGTTTATTTTGAACACAGAGGATGCCTTCAGTAAAAAGTCTGCTGCATCCCGGCGACCCAGCTCCCTTAGTTTCGATATGAGGATGCCGACCGTGCTCTCAGGGTAGGTAGTCCACTCCTGGAGCAGGGCATGGACTGGGCTTGGCTGGAAATCCTTGGGAGCCCCGTTGTTGGTGTTGTACTTTGCTACGAGGTCAGGGAGGCCTAAGTTCATGGCGAGAAGGCACCAGTCCTTCCCCATGGGATCGGGAGGGTCCAGCAGGCGACTCAGTTTCCTCCGGGTCAGAAGGTTCAGATCCGAAGCGTGGATGTCCATCCCAAGACTGGCCTGAGAGTAGACATCGTGGCACCCAAAGCACATGATGCTGCTGAAGCTCTCCTTGTAGCCCCCCATGGTGTTCGTCAATGAGGCCTCCTTCAGGGTCTGTGCTCGGAAGAAGTCTCGTGGCTGGTAGATCATGACGGGCTCATGGTGCTCCCTTAGCTGCTGGGGGCTCAGGTAATGCTTCACAGTCAACAGCCCTGGCAGTGTGGTAGACATGACATTCTCAATGGTGCTGCACACTGAGTCCAGTAGGAGGCAGCACTTGATCTTCTCGGTCTCCAGACCACGGACCTGGACCTCAATGCCCTGGCCGTGGTTGACCAGAAGCACCAGCAGCTCAGCCCCACGGTTGGCAATCTTGCAGCCATTCACCCAGAGGCGGATGTCTGCATCGCCCTCGGTGCTCTGCTGGTGGATCCAACGGCAAAGGTTGACCTGAACCTTGTGAAAGATGCCACAGGGGAAGGGGGTGAGGTGCTCCACGGGGACGACGCGCACACCACCGTAGACCATCACCTCATCCTCCTCATCTGTCCAGGAGCGATGCAGGTTGTCTGTCTTGATCAGGGCGGGGATGTCCACCATGGTGCCGCTGCTCAGGTCCCGGGCGCAGATGTCCATGGCATCGAGGATCTGTAGCAGTTCCTCCACGTCACTGTCAGGCACCAGGCGCTGAATGTCCTCCACAGTGTAGCGGCCACGGTAGTGGTGCAGGGCCCGAGGGGTCTCGATGGAGAGCAGCTTCCCCAGGACTGTGGTGCAGAGCCAGCGGGGGTCCAGAAGCAGCACATCCTGGACTGTTTCACTCTGCATGATGTTGATCTGTCAGAGAGGATAAGGGAGGTCACGTACAGGAACATACACGGGACCAGATGCATCAGTCACTATAAGGAATGACCCAAGGTCATTCACATGGATGAATCTCAACAATCAAATATGGATCCACAAACCCCCTCCTGAGAATGTCATACAGGAGATCTGAAAAACCACCCTTGACTCTTCAAAAATGGTCAATGCAATGAAAGATCAAATAAATAAACATAAGTAAAAATAATGTCAAATAAAATAAAATGCTAGTGAGACAATTATGCACAGTTAAATTTGAACTGGACATGAGATGTATTTGGGCATTACTTGTTAATTTTCATAGGTGTGACGATAACATTGTGGTTGTGAAGAATATCCCTTTCTTTGCTATTGTTGTTATGTGCCATCAAGTTGGATCTGACTCATAGCGACCCCTCCTTGGGTTTCTGAGGCAGTATCACTACGAAGTAGATTGCCCCATCTTCCCTTTCTTTAGGAGATGCTTAAGGAAGTATTTAGGAGTAAAGAATCATGATATGTGCAATTTACCTTCAAATGGTTCAGAAATAAATATAGCTAGGTAAAGAAAATGTGGCCAAAGGGAACAATGGTTAAATGGTGGTGGGTTAAAGAGTGCTCACTGTTTTTTTAGTTTTTCAACTTTTCTACATGTTTGAAAACTTTCAGAAAAAAGCTGGGAAAAAAAGGCCAGAAAACTTTTAGATTAAGGGAGACTAGAGAGACATGACAACAAAATGCAACACAGGCAGTCCCCAGGTTATGAACAAGAGCAGTTCTTTTCTTTTTCTTTTTTTTTATTGTGATTTGGGTAAAAATTTACAGAGCAAATTCACTTTCCATCCAGCAGTTCACATTCACTTTGTCTCATGACATTGACTACAATTTACCCCAATGCAACAGCTCCCCTCCCACTACCTCCCGTAAGTTACCTCTTCCCTGTGTCCATCCCTCCATGTACTCCTACCCCTTGAGCGCTCTCCCTGTGCATAAACAGCCCTTCTTTCTCCCATGAACAAGAGCAGTTCTTAACTGTATCTTTAAGAATCTGTAGGGAAGCCACGACAGGTGCGTACAGTTTTTATTTAGCCTTATTTAGCCCCACTTACAAGAAAAGGCTCAAAGCCTTTTCCATGATTTAAAAGCTCCAGGTACAGTAAGGGAAGGTGATTGTGATGAAGATTTGTTACAGGTAGGGACTGGTTCTATTGTTTCAAAATGAAGGCAAATTTATATTAATATTTAAAGACAAATGTGAATTGTTCATAAGTCGGATGTTTGTAACACAAGGACTGCTTGTATATGGTCTCTGATTGGGTTCTGAATCCCAAATAAATAAACATATGAATAAAAACAACAGTTATAAAGGGCATGACTCATTATCGGGACAGCTGGCAAACTTGTGAGATATATATCTCTATCTATCTATCTATATATATGCAGTAGTCTATCAATGATATATTCCCTGAATGTGATCATTAATTATATTGTGGTCTTTTCTCTTAGGAGATATGAGTTAAATTATTTAGGGGTGAAATGCCATGATGCCTGCAAAATAAATACATAAATAGAAGAGAGAGGGATAAAGCAAATGTAGCAAAATGTAAACAGTTGGTGAACTTAGGTATAGGTTACGAAAATTCTTTTGTACTATTCTCCCAACTTTTCTGAAGCCTTGAAATTTTTCAAAAAAGGATTCAGTTGTTGTTGTGTTGCTATCAAGTCAATTCTGACTCATAGCCACTCAATATGACAGACTAGAACTGTCCCGTAGGGTTTCTGAGGCTGCAATCTTTACAGGAACAGATCACCAGGCCTTTATCCCATGGAGTTGCTGGGGGTTTTGAACTGCTGACTTTCTAGTTAGCAGCTGAGCACTTAACCATTGAACTACCAGGTCTCCTTATCAGAATGTTATACTATTATGACGTAAGTAAAAAAAAGTCTGGATAGACGCACCACTGTAATGATAGTAGTCAGCCCCAGAGAAAAAGAAAAGGGGAATGGGACCAGAGGTGGTAAGTCAAAGGGGACATTAGCTCCACATGTCATACTTATTTCTTTAAAGAAAGAAAAGTCTAGGAAAACAAAATTGTGCCCAAAACCAAAACCCAGAAGTAATTTTTCCCCTTTATGGAACAAATACCTTCCTCTCTTTTTATGCTGGCCTGGTTCTATGAACACTGATCATACGGGGTGGATCCCTTCTTACCTCACAGGCCTGGACATTTTCCTGTTGGTAGGAGGATTATTCTGCACAGTCATGGTCTGGCTTAAACCTTTAAGTGCCCTTCATATATGATTCCCTTCAGAATTGTGCCTCAGACTGAACATTCCTGGAGGGTAGAGTCAATATTGGAATCCCTGACTGGTGGAAATGCTTGTGATTGCAAGCCAAAATGTTGTCAGTTCAAACCCTTCTGGAGGTGCATTGGCAGACAGGCCTAATGGTGATCTGCTTCTAAAAGGCCTTGAAAACCCTATGGAGCAGTTCTAGTCTGCACATATGGAGTCACCATGAGTCGGAATCAACTTGACAGCAACTAACAACAACAGAGCCAACATCTATTTGGTGGAACACCATCTGCAATGCAGTCCCCAACATTGCTCTCTCCTCAAGATCATGAAAAGCAAAGCATGACTGAGAAGTACGAGGAGACATGATAACTAAACGTGAGATCCTAGATCAGAAAAAAGATACTGGAGAGACAACAGGTGAAATTGGAAGTAGGTATGTAGAATAAGCAAACAGTATTATGTCAATGTTAATATCCTGGTTTCCATTAGTCTTATAGTTGTTGTTGTTGTTATGTGCCGTCGAGTCGGACCCGACTCATAGCGACCCCTCCTCGGGTTTTCGAGGCAGTATCACTACAGAAGTAGATTGCCCCATCTTCCTTCTGAGGAGTGGCTGGTGGGTTTGAACCAGCAGCCTTCTGGTTAGCAGTCAAGTGCCTTAGGCACTGTGCTACCAAAGCTCCCTTAGTATTATAGAGTTGGCTAAAATGTTAACCTTTGAAGCTAAATTTGAAGGACTTTAGCACATGAACTAATGTCAGTTCTGGTCTTTTATATAAATTTTCAAATTTTTGGGAAGAAAGTTATCTCATGATTTCCCTGTCCCGATTCATTGTTCCAAAACATTAAAAAGAGATAGGCAGGGATGAAATGACAATGAATGGTCTTTAAAATACCTCCAACAGCAGTGGAGGGATATAAATTATCTATGGTACTAATGGCCAGGCAGATCTTTGAGAATTTAACCTTAAAATGGATTAAAAGTGACCACCAGCTCTGTCTACTTCCCTCAAATACTCCTGTATGTCTAGGTACACACTGAACTTTCTTTACTTGTGAATTCTTTAGTTACCTTTTGTTGAAGGCTAATTCTATGGTTACCAAGCATTGAAAAGGCCAAAAGTTTAGTGTGAGTGGAGGGGAGGAAACATATAAACCAACTGCCTTTGAGTCAACTCGATGCATGGCAACCTCACCCCATGTGTGTCAGAGTAATGCTGTGCTCCAAAGGGTTTTCAATGGCTGATCTTTGGAAGATCGCTAAGTTTCTTCTGAGACACTCTGGGTAGAGTCAAACCTCAGCATTTCAGTGAGCAGCTGAGCATAACTGTCTGTACCACCCAGGAACTCCAGGGACAGCACAGGGTCTGGCTAAACCTCAACTTAGATCAGAGGCTGCCCAACTACAACCTAAGGCCAAGTCCAGTGGCTGCCTTTATCTTAGTATGGCCCTTGAGCTAAGAGTGGTTTTTATATTTTTAAATGGTTAAAAAAAAATCAAAATAAGATAATATTTGTGACATGAGAGAATTACATGAAATTGAACTTTCAGTGTCCATAAATACAGTTTAATGGAACACAGCCTTGCTCATTTGTTTATGTCTTGTTAATGGCTAATTCTGAGCTACAATGGCAGAACTGAGAGTTCTGACAGATACCATATGGCTTGCAAAGCTGAAAGTGTTTACTAGTTGATCTTTTATAGAAAAAGTTTGCCATCCACTGACACAGATAACCAACCTCCAAATAAATGAGCATGAACAGAGATATGATTCCTCTGGGTAGAGAACAGTGTTTCTTAAGTTCTAGGGAACTACATCATAGATAGAAGTCCCTGGGTGGTGCAAAGGGTTAATGGGCTCAGCAGCTAACCAAAATGTTGGAGGTTTGAATCCACTCAGTGATGTCTTGGAAGAAAGGCCTGGTGATCTGCTCTCAAAACATCCATCATTGCAAATCCCATGGACCATGGTTGTGGTGGTTAACTTTGTGTGTCAACTTGGCTGGGCCTGGTTGAGTGGCTGGGCAGCTGGATGTAGTACTCCCCATGGTGGGAGTGGTAATCACCTCCATGGTGGAATCTACTGTGAGCAGCTGAGTAGTTGCCCTAGGGATGTGGCCTGCTTCCTGTATATAAGGAGAAGCCTTGGGGAATAGTCTCTAGCTTATGGCATGCTTGAACCCTGCATGTAGCCGTGTTGTTGTTCAGCAGCCTGCCATGCTCTGCTGACCTTGGGACTTTCAATGGACTTGAATTAATGGCCTGCTGTGTGATTTGGTAACATCGGGACTGTGCTTTTTTACTTGTCAACCTTGGGCTTGTCAGTCTCAGCAGCCAGCCACTGTCTAAGCAAAGAAAAGCCTCTAGCTCCCGTGGGCCCAGAGCAGGAGGCAGAGCTAAAGCCCAAGGTTGAGGGGCTTTCACACAGCCCCTGGAGCCTGTTACTTTGAACTCGGACTTCTAGTCTCCAAACTATAAGAGAATAAACTCCTATTTGTTAAGGCATCCCCATTTGTGGTATATTCCTGTCAGAGTGGCACTAGGTAACCACAACAATGGTTCTACTCTGAAACACATGAAGTTACCATGAGTCAGGACTGATTTGATGGCACCTGGTTAGTAGCATCTTAAAATCCAAGCTTTGATGTCTTGTCTTTTCCCTGGGCCTCAAGTCCTCTGAAGTATTGCTGGAGGGGTCAGTAGATTAGTTAGCAGATTAGCTGGGAGTTTAAAGACCAACAAAATCACAGTTTGAGGCAGTGGCTTCTGGATTCAACTTTCATTTCAAGCATGTATGACCCACAAAACTGGCCACAGGCTCAGATGTGGCAAGCTCCTGGTGTTTCTTATTTTCAGGATTGTTCCCAGGCTAGCTTATGCCATCAGATTTCACATGATAGAGGAATGGGAAAGCTGTGTCCCCTTTTGGGGACAGGCATATGATGCAATTACAACAGAGTCCCAAACCTCACCCCAGTGCTGCATGTAACACAACCAAGAGCAAAGATTCCCACTGCCTTGTCATTTCTGGCAGGCATTGCTTACTGGGAACTTTTTTTTTTTTTTTTTTTTTATTAGGATTTGGGTGAAGATTTACAGAGTAAATTCACTTTTCATACAGCAGTTCACATATACTTTGTCTCATGTCATTGACCAAAATTTACAATGCAGCAGCTCCCCTCCCACTTCCTCCCCATAGTTAGCTCCTCCCAGTGTCCATCCCTTCATACTCTTCTGCACCCTGAGCTATCTCCCTGTGCATAAGCAGGCTTACTGGGGACTTTTAATTGTGCATATTGGGTTATAATTACTTAGTGTATCATAAGGTTGGACAATCCTACTTCCGTAGCGATACTGCCTCGGAAACCCAAGGAGGGGTCGCTATGAGTCGGGGCCGACTCGACGGCACACAACAACAACAACATCATTATTAAATAATTACCAGGAGCTCTGGGGGCATGCTTTCTAAGGCATTTGACTACTAACCAAAAGGTTGGCAATTCAAACCCACCAGCCACTCCATGGAAGGAAAACTGGGCCATCTACTTCTGTAAAGATTTACTGCCTTAGAAACCCAATGAAGGTCACTTTGAGTTGGAATTGACTTGATGGCAGTGGGTTTGGTTTGCTTTAGTGACCCCATGCACTATTCCTCTGTCTTAGTTCCTCCAGGCAGTGTCTCCTTCAGGACACTTCACTATCTTTCCTCTCTGTCAGGCTGGAGTTGAGAACACCCCATGCAGGGCAGCCAGACTGACTGATGGCTGTCAGTAATAGCAGGTAAGGATCAGGTGATCAAGGGGGCATGAAAAGAAAACCCTGTCTCCTCCTGCAGGGGGTAGTTATGCTCCCTAACTAACAGAATCTGAAAACAAGTAAAACAATGGCCCCTAACATGAAGTGGGAGAGCAGGGAACTGTGGTTCAGAAGTCACTTGAAAAAAATCAAACCAGTTGACTTGAATCAATTCTGCCTCAGAGACCCACGTGTGTCAGACTAGATCTGTCCTCCAAAGGGTTTTTAATAGCTGACTTTTCAGAAGTAGATCACCAGATTTTTCTCCTGAGGCCTTTGGGTGGACTGAAACCTCCAAACTTATGGTCAGCAGTTGAGTGCATTATGGTTGCACCACCCAGGAATTAGAAATACGGGCAGTTGGGCAGTTTCTACTTTCCTCCCCCTCACACTTCCTTCAGACCCTGGAATTTGGATCCAGAAATGAGACCCTGGAGCCCCGCCTGGGCCATTACCTCGCCAGTGCTGTGGAGCTGTTGGGCTATGTGCCTGAGGTCCTCCTCGCTGGCCAGAGGGTTCAGCTGGTCCTGCACGTCATACATGAACTGCTGCAGCGACATGAGCTGGTTGGGGCCGTTGAGTCTCCTCCAGGAAGGCAGTGTGGAGATGATCTTCTCACACAAGGGAGTCATCGGAGGGCAGTCCTGGAGCAGGAAAGACAGGCCAGACTGACTGACAGCTGTGATGCTCTCAGAGGGGTCTGACAGAAATCCTGCTATTCATTTAGGCACAGTGACATCGAAGTCTCTGAATTAATTACTACTTCTTTTGCTGGTGTGCATGGCTACTACGGGGCACTGGTTCAGAGAATTCTTGCCTTCCATATGGGAGACCTGGGTTCTATTCCAGCCAATGCACCTCATGTGCAGCCACTGCCCATCTGTCAGTAGAGGCCTGTGTGTTGCTACGATGCTGATCAGGTTGCAGTGAAGCTGCCACACTAAGATGGACTAGGAAGAAAGGCCTGGCAGTCTACTTCCAAAATCCAGCTGATGGAAACCCTGTGGATGGCAATTGTCTGATCCCATTGTGCATGGGGTGGCCATGAGGTGGGTGTGACTTGACAGCAGCTAACAACTGCTCAGCTGTTAACCAAAAGGTTAGGTTGGAGGGTCAAGTCCACTCAGAGGCTCCTCAGAAGAAAGACCTGGCAATCTACTTTCAAAAAATTAATCCTTGAAAATCCTATGGACACAGCTCTACTCTGACACAAGGGGGGTCACCATGAGTTGGAACTGACTCAATGGAAACTAGTTTTGGTTTTGCTGGGGCAGTTAGTTTTTAGAAGGTTGAGCTTAAGCAGAACCCATTTATTTCCCTAATATGACAGTCTGTGGAGTCTCTTCATTTCTCCCGCTCACGTTAAATGGATAATGAGTCTTCACTAAAAGGTTTTTGGAACTGTGGATTCAAGCACTCAACCAGCTCTTATATAAATGAGGCCTCTGTATATTGGCTCCCAGTTGTTTACATCTTTACAGCAAGCTGAGGCCCAATAGCCCTAACAAGCTTGCCAGTGCCAAACTCAAATGTGTACACATGCAACTAACTGTTTACAAAATTGCCCACAGAAGATTTTTAGCCACTTAGAAATGGGCAGCTGTAAAAACAGAAATCATGAAACTGCACCCAACCTCTGTTAGCCATAGATAAGCCACAACCCTGTGGTGAGAGGACCCTGAAGTTCTGCTGCCTTCAGAGCTCTTGGACACAGACATGCTCCACTTAAGCCCTCCCCTTCCCCACTTCCCCTGGGGTTTTCATGCCAGTTCCCTTCTGATGGCTCCCTGCACCGACAGCCTCTGGAAAACCTGCTGAGGGGGACCACCTCCTGCAAGGGGTAGTCAGTGCATCACCCCAATAAACAGCTTGCTATGCAACGCTGCTGTCTTGTGTGACATCCTTCTCCTCAATCAGTCCTGAGTTCCACTGAACTCACTATACCAATAAGTGTTCACCACGTTCTAATGCTTCACTCACTCAATCACTCATAGTGACCAATTCAGTCAGGCAAAGGCCACTTTATGAGCAAAGAGAGAGAGGATGAGTATAAGATTATTGGAGTATTTTTACCAGTAAATTAGATAATCCATGGGAATTGTTATTGAACTATTATTTCAAACTAGACTAATTCTCAGTAATTAGCTTGAAATGAGTTCTTAATCTTTTAATTTGGTTCAATAAATCAGTTTATGTTATAGACTCATCTAATCAGCATACCTTTCTAGTTAAAAACCACACAGACCATATTCTATACCACACCATTAATTACGTAGTCCCCTCTCAAATTTTTTGACGTCAGCTTCATTTCACCTTCTATTTAAACAACAACATTCCTAGGGATGCAGGCAGTTTAGTAGGTTCAGGAGTGCAGGGAGGGCTGAAGCAGAAGACTGTGCTGCATCCCACCTCAAACACCTCCAATGACCCAGTACTGCCTATATCAACCAGATGCCAGCTAGTCGACTCTGTCTCATGGTGGTCCATGTGTGTCAGAGTAGAACTATGCTCCACAGGGCTTTCAACAGTTGATTTTTTGGAATTAGGTCACCAGGCCTTTCTTCTGAGGTGTCTCTGGATGGACTTGAATCTTCAGTCTTTCAGTTAGCAGCCAAGTGCATTAACCATCTGCATTCCCTCTCCACCCCCAAGGAACTTCCCCCTACTGCCTGCAGAGCCCAGGCTGTAATCCATAATTTGTGGGGGTGCTTGGGGCCCTTCACACACTATATATTGTTCCAGGAATGTCACCCAAGACCAGGCTAGACCACTCTCTGTCCCTGCCTATGTCACAGTGTGACACTCATCGGAAGGCAAGGGCATCTGATATGAAGGGCCAGGCTTTCATGAGATGAGGGGTTTCCTGAAAATTCTGAAGGCATGTCTAGAACTATGAGCCTGCTGTTTGAAGCCTGGTGTTTGAAGTGTGGTGGTTTACAATCAGCCAAACAGTAAAGAAAGGGGAGGATTTAACACGAAGCAGCATTGCTGGGCGGGAGGGGGAGAGCAAGCCTGCTCTGGGCTTAAACTCAAGCATGGCCAACAGGAACATTCCTAGGATTGGCACTGTGGATCTTTTACTTTAAAAGTTTTAAACATCATGGATAGTCACCCTTCATAGCCCAAACCTTTCATCTACCAAATGCACCAAGAATATTTTTCCTAGTCTACTATAGCTTTTTTATTTTTAAATGAAATTTGTTTGCAAAACAAACCAACCAATCAACCTTTAATTTTTATGTTGACAAGTGAGTCTGACTGTCTTTGGAAACTTCTGGGGTTTTCTAGCTTGGCTTAAAAGCTTTCCTCAGTCCCATGGTGATGATGATGATTGTTATTATAAAAATGCATTATCCTAAATTTCCATTCGAGGTATTTATTTTCCTTTTTTTTTACATTTAAAGTCTTTAATCCACCTAGAATTTACTTTTGCACTATGTAATGAAGTAGGAGTTCAACCTTACTTTCTTCCAGGCACATTGACAATTGTGCCAGGATTATTTATTAAACAAACACCCTTTTCCCATTAAATTGAAATAACACCTTTGTTCTAGGTTATACTTCGTATCAGTGTGATTTATGTTTACGTCCTCTATTCTGTTGCACTTGTTTCGCCTTATCGATTATATTGTCTTTACAACATGCATGGTTTACCCTTCCATTGGCATTTTCAGATAAAAATTGAACCTCCTCCATCCTGCTAAGATGCTAACTAGAATCATATTGAATTAATATACCTTCAGAAAAATGAAACATTTAATAATATCTTGCCAGGCAAGAACAGTCTCATACCATTTGTTCAGTGTTATCTGATGCCCTTCAGTAGGTTTTATTAGTGACTGAATGGTGACAATTCTATTTTTTTTTGCATTTTCTAAATATCCCACGATTAATCACTTTTGTATTGCTTTCATAACTTTTAAAAAGGCATTTTATTTTTGAACAATTTTGAGTCCTAGAATCCGAAGTGGTCTGTTGTTGCCCATGACATCTTCTTCTTCTCCTGGTCCTCTCCTTGTTTCTCTACTCTCCCTCATACCGAGACAAGAGAATAAAAATAGTCCATGCAGCCAACTCATACTCAGACCTATTATAAAAGTTTCCACCAAACTCAAACTACTATGGATTGAATTGTGTCCTCCAAAAACATATGTTGAAATCCTAAACACTTCTGAGTTCTAAAAAGAGAAGACACAAGCCTAGGACCACTAAGGGTTGCTGGAAGCTACTAGAAACTGAAACAGACAAGGAAGGACCTCCCCCTAGAGTCGTGCTCTGATTTGGACTTCTGGCCTCCTGATCTGTGAGAACATAAATTTCTCTTCTTCCAAGCTACCCACTTGTGGTATTTGCCTTACGGCAGCACTAAGTAACTAAGGCATAGATCAAAGCAGAAGGGAAGCGTGACCCCGGGAGTCACCTGATGGTTATGGCAAAGGTTGGGTTCAAGCCCTCCCCAGACTGGACTTACAGAAACAATCTGGCTCCGTATTTCTTGCAGGTGATTCCGAAGTACCTTCATGTCCTTAGACCCAGAAGCCCCAGCATCCAGGACAAACAGCTTATTTGAAATGTGGAGATCATTCCCAAACCTATGGAGAACAGCAGTGGCCTTATCAGCAGTGGTTCTCACCAGGAATTTCCACAGAGGGGACAGGTTCCTACAGGCCCCAGAGAAGGCAAAGGAAGTAGTGGTGACCCTGCACACACTCCCTCACCCCTGCTGTAGAGTGGACTCTGCACTGACACCAGGTGTGGAAGCGTAGGGAACATACTCCCAGTTGTACAAATGGGTGCCGTGGTTTCCACAAAGCAGCAGAAACACGAGAACTCACTGCCATCGAGTCCATTTGGACTCATAGCAAACCCCTTTGGGTTTCCAAGGCTGTAAATCTTTACAAAAGCAGATTGTCTCATCTTCCTTCCAAGGAGTGGCTGGTGGGTTAAATTGCTGACCTTTCGGTTAGCAGCCAAATGCCTTACCATTTGCCTTACCAAATGCCTTACCAAATGCCTTACCAGAGCTCCTTAGAAACATGAGGGGGTGTGTGGATTTCAGATTCTGTGATGCAAGGAGGGTGAGGCCAATGTTCTCACCTTACAAGTTAGGAGAAGAGATGCTGGTGAACTTTAATGGGCTAAGAATAGAGATATGAATTTCAAGTTATACCACAGATCTAAAAATACTCTGTTTTTCATATTAGGAAGACAAGAGATTAAGTGTCTAAAGTTGAAAAATAAAGAATTCAAGTTGTTAGAGAGTGATCTGTGTAGAAGATCCTAGACAGAGTGGGAGAACAATGTGGAACAAAACTCAAAATTAAAAAAAAAAAAAAAAAGACCAGGTTTGCTGGTCTGATAGAGCCTGGTGAAACCCCTGAGACTATGGCCCCTAGCTGCCCTTCAGGTCTGGAATTGAACTCTTGTCGCTTCCAGCCAAATAAAAGATTGTAATATGGGCTAAACATTTATATCAGGTAGATACACTCCTTGGAGAGAACAATCATGGAAGAACAGAAGGGCAGTTTATGCACAGGGAGACAGCTCGGGGGGGGGGGGGGGGGGCCAGGAGTGCATGGGAGGAAAGGACACTGGGAAGAGGTACCTATGGGGAGGAAGTGGGAAGACAGTTGTTACGTTGTAGGGAATTGCAGTCAATGTCATGAGACAAACTGTGTATTAACTGCTGTATGGAAAATGAATTTTCTCTGTAAACTTTCACCCAAATCACAATAAAAATTTAAAAAATAAAATAACAACAACAAAAAACCACAACATATAATATTGCTGTAACCTGTGGCTGGGGGTGGAGAATCCAAATTGCTAGCATATTATGTAGAGTTGCAGCTTTCAAACTTTTGACAGACTCTCAAAAATGTGTGTGTGTCTCCTACTTTGGCGAGTAGTGACTGGGATCTTAAAAGCTAGCAAGTTGCCATCTAGATGCAACGATGGGTCTCTCCTCGTCCAGAGCAAAGAATGAAGAAAACCAAAATTCATGGAAACAATTAGTCCTAGCGACCAATCTACAGCCAATCTACAGCCTATACAACTACGAGACCAGAAGAACTAGATGGTGCCCAGCTACCACTGTCATCCACTTGGAAGGGGATCTATGTAGGAGATCCTTGATAGAGAGGGAGAACAATGTGGAACAAAACTCAAAATCATTTGGAGGAAAAAATAAAAGGGGGGTGACCAGGTTTGCTGGTCCAATAGAGCCTGGTGGAACCACTGAGACTATGGCCCCTAACTGCCCTTCAGGTCTGGAATTGAACCCATACCTGTGGTTTCCAGCCAAACAAAAGGCAGGCATATGAGTTGAACATTTACCTCAAGTAGACACACTCCTTGGAGAGAACAATCATGGGGAGAAAGAAGGGCTGCTTATGCACAGGGAGACAGCTCAGGGGGCAGGAGTTCATGGAGGGATGGACACAGGGAAGAGGTAACTATGGGGAGGAAGTGGGAGGGGAGCTGTTGCATTGTGGTAAACTGTGGTCAATGTCATGAGACAAAATATATGTGAACTGCTGTATGGAAAGTGAATTTTCTCTGTAAATCTTCACCCAAATCACCAGAAAAAAAAAATGTGTGTGTGTGTGTGCTCAGGAGGGATCAGTGCATGGGATCATTGATAGAGTGGGAGAACAACGTGGAACAAAACTCAAAATCATAAAAAAGGACTAGGTTTACTGGTCTGATAAAGCCTGGTGGGACCCCCAAAACTATGGCTCCTAGTTATACTTTAGGTCTTGAACTGAACTCACTCCCATGGCTTCCAGCCAAACAATAGAAAGGCATATACAGTGAACATTTACATCAGGTAGATACACTCTTTGAAGCAATCAGTCATGGGAGAACAGAATGGCAGTATTTGCACAAGGAGATAGCCCAGAGGGCAGGAATGCATAGGAAAGACAGACACAGGGAAGAGGTAACTACAGGGAGGAAGGGGGAAGAAAACACACTGGAGAATTGTGGTCAATGTCATGAAATAAAATGTGTATGAACTATTGTATGGAAAAAGAATTTGCTCTGTAAATTTTCACCCAAATCACAAAAATTGAAAAATATCACACAGCGTAAAAAAAAAAAAAAAAAAAAAAGTGTATTTACATTGAGACCTGTTCAAACCCATATTTATAAATGAAACTTATAAGTGAAACAAAAGTTCTACAAATACTGGATGTGCAATGCACACTGATATTTTTGCATCGTAATCTACTCCTTTCCATTCCATTCCACCCCAGCTCATTCCATTCAATCCAATTTAAAAAGAGTTGGTTGTGACCCCCTAAGTGAATTCCAAGACCTACTAATGGGTTGTAGCTTCACATTTTGACAAATACTGATTAACATTATGGAGATAATCAGCAAGTGAACTAAAAGCCAAAATAAAACACGTCATTCTGGGTGCTAGTAATGAGAGGCGAGGAAAGAAGCTGGAGGATTGTTGCTTTTATCATGTGCATTCATTGCTTAGATAAAAAATGAAAAATACAACAAAAAGTCAAGCAAGGAAAAGAGAGCTTTAATTCCTTTCTCTAGTTCACATAATTTCCTGTTGTATTTTTCACACCCATGATGCTCTCACTTGGGCCTAAAGGCCCAGTGGCTGCCCCTTACCTGTTCTTGATCTCTTTCAGCAATGACATGTCTTTGTCATAACCAAACTCGCCTCCAGCTGGACGAGGGACGTTCATGATGTCAGCATGGGTGGCCACCAGGACGACTCGGAGTGGGTTCTTGAGCTTACCGCCGAAGGCTTGAGGGCAGAGAGAGCAGTGATTCAGGAGGTGGGCCCCTTACCTGGCTGATTCTCCTCCCAGGCTGGGGCAGGTCACCTTGGCCTCATACCCAGGTTGTCTCCCTGCCCACAGACCCAAAGGCACTCTGTCTTGCTTGGCCATCAGCCCTGCTAACAACAAGAGGAGCCCTTTCCTACGTTACTGCTAGTTGACACTAAACCTGTGAAGGTTTAGCTTCAAGAAAGGTTGCTCAGAAATGGACTAAATAAAACCAGGCCACAGAACAAAAGGGAGCTTCTCTCTGATGTTCTCCAAGTAGCCCTGCCTGTCTGGCAGAGTCAGATGTAGCCACTGACAAGGGAGACACCCTTTATAAGACTAAAGACAACCCTGAACACAGCAACACCTTGGAAATGGCTCAGAAGAGGTACTGCCTGCAAGCCACAAAGACAGAGAGTCTTACATTTATGGCAACATTTAAAAAATGTGAGAAGGAAGGAAAAAGACAGAGGCAAATGGCAGTACACTGAGAGAGACTATTTATTATCAATATGCTTTTTTGGGAAACGTGACTGCTAAGTGTCATATTTCATCAGGGCAGGCTGCTTCTTCAGTTGCACAGAAAGACCAAAAGAAATTTGATCCATGTTATGCTGTCCTCTAGAAACAAAGTTAAGATAATTTAGTCAGCGAACATGGTCATTTCTCCAAAACATCAGCTATTCCTCTCTTCTTCATGGAACTGTTGAATGAAGGAGAATTATTATTATTGATTATATTACTCATGCAGCCTTTAGGTAAAGGGTATGTGTTAGCTCTCATTGAGTCAGCCCCAATTCACGGTGACCCCATGAACAATGGAACAAAGCGTTGGCTGGTCCTAAGCCATCTCCATGATTGGCTGCAGATCAGCTTGTTGTGATCCACAGGGTTTTGTGATCCACCGGCTGATTTTGGGGAGTAGGCTGCCAGGCCCTTCTTCCCAGTCCTTCTTAGTGTGGAAGCTCCAGTGACACTTGCTCAGCATCATGACAACATGCATTCAGAGACAAATGGCTGGTGGCTGTGCATGAGCTGCCATGGCCGGGAACTGTACTTGGGTCTCCTGCACAGAAGGTGAAAATTCTACCACTGAACCGCCACTGCCTGCCCGCAGGTTAAGATGGAGTAGTTATTAAGGAAGTATTCCACTTGCACCCAACAAAATTACCACGGTTCTAAGGCTTAGAAAGAAAGTGAGAAACTGCTATCAAGGGTTTGCTCAGAATTGGGCCTTAGAAATAGGAATAAACCAAACCAAACTCACCGCCATTGAGTCAATTCCAACTCATAGCAACCCCTACTGGGTTGCCAAGGTTGTGAATCTTCACAGAAGCAGAATACCTCAATGTTTTTTTTCCATGGAGCAGCTGTTGGGTTTGAACTACTGACTTTTTGGTTAGCAGCCAAATAAATGCCTTAACCCCTATACCACCAGAGCTCAGAAGCAGGAATAAGGGATCGTGAAGCAAATGAACATCTGACCCTCAGGAAGTTTCTGTGAGTGGAAAATCTATCAGGATGGAGGAATGGAGTCAGGGAGTCTCAGCTGTTAGCCACAAGCTTTGGATCTGAGGAAGGCGGCGGGTACAAGGTCATGAGGGGCATGAACAGAGGACTCAGAAGGGTGAGGCTGCCTCTTGGCTGTCCCCAGGGACTACATCCCCGCCCGCCCGGTGCTGGCTCACCTATGGCCTCTTCAACAGGGACAAGAGACTTCAGGAAGCTCAGCCAGAAAATCACTTGGTTCAGCTGGATCTCATACGGTTCTTCTAGACTAAAAACAATGATGTGGACTGACGTGGGATCATTTGCAGCAAAATAATCATAACAGCAGAAATACACAGGATTTCCAGAGAACTCCCACACGCTGAAATCGCCAACTCCTACACAGAAAATAAGGTACAGATTACTAGCATGAAGCATCACTGTCAGATTCCAACCAGAAAATTTCTCAGCACTCCAGGGATTACATGTAGGGAGAGTGCTATCTCTAACCTTCATCTGTATCTCCATACTACTACTAACTGTTGCAGTCAGGTCAATTCTGACAAATGGAGACCCTGTTTGTTACAGAGTAGAACCAAACTCCATAGGTTTTCTTGGCTGTAATCTTTATGGAAGCATACTTCCAGCCCTTTCTTCTGCAGCACCGCTGAGCAGGTTCAAACAACCATTTAGGTTAGCAGCTCAGTGCAAACCATCTACGCCACCCAGGGTCATGTATCTCTGTGTCTATTTCCATATTCATATCTTTTTATCGATTGCAATATCATTTCTTAAAGAACTATCTTGGCACAGTTTTGAGGCCCTGGCTGGCGGCCGGTTTGTTCACTGTCTTGAATAGTTGATTAAGTCCATTCTCCAACCACTCCCCTTATCAGGGTCTCACATTCCTGGGCCACTTTGCAACGTCCTAATTGCCTCAAGATAGGTACCTAACAACTATGACAGCTCCTATGCACTGGAGCCTGCAGAGTCATTCAAAGGGCCCAGTCTCCAGGAAGCCTGGAAAACCTAGCGAACCCACCCTGCTTCCATACATAGGTTCTTTCCTACAACTCCAGCTTGTTGTTACCTTGTCCCTGGGTGCAATCCCTGTGTGGCCCTGCATCATGGCGTGCTATGCCTCCCTGTCTCTGGAAACTGAGTATAATAAACCTGGTTACTGTTCATGACCTCCCTGACTCTTCATCCCTGCATCATACCTGATGTATCTACCATCTCTCAAATTTGTTAGAGCAGCCATATATCTATAAATCTACTGTCTCTGGATCTGCTCATCTATTTTCCTAAATATAGATATATATTACTCTATTCCTCTCTCTATCTATGCAGTCACTGGGTGGCATGAATAGTTAACACTCTTGGCTGATAAGTGAAAGGTTTGAAGTTCGAGTCCATCCAGAGGCACCTTGGAAGAAAGGCCTGGTGATCTCTTTCAGAGTTAGCCAATGAAAACTGCAGAGCACAGTTCTACTCTGACATGTGGGTCACCATGAGTCCGAGTGGACTCTATGACATCTAAGTTTGTTTTTCCTGGTAGGGAGACCATAGTGCTTAGTTTTACTTGTTATGGGTATGAACTAGCTGCACTGAAATCCTGGGCCACTCCCATATCAGTGTGCATTGGGAATTCTTCCATCTTTTGCATGGAAATGACAGACACCATCTGGGACCAGTTCCCTTTAGGGAGTGATTTATAGCCCTGTGGAAAGGGAAACTGGAGGCCCTTCCCCTCTGGTATGGATGGCCCATCATTTGGTCATACACACACACACAGAGACACACACACACAAATACACACGAATGTACATGCCTATATGCATGCGTACCGTTCAAATACGCATTCTGGATGTCGATAGCCTTAGTGGACTGGTCATCGGTGGAGCAGTGTGGGTGGTGGGGTGGGGCCACAAATACCTCCAGCATCCCTTTGGTGAGCCCTGGCTCGAACATCATGCTGCGGCTCCTCACACTCACGTTTTCGCACCCAGGGTATAGGTTGTTGATGCTCACGGAGACTGCAGGCCAGAAAGGAAGGAAGTCACACCTTGTATATGGCAGCATACATGCTTACTCTCCCCCAGGCTCTGGCCACAAGCTTTCCATTTTCTGGAACATGCTCCACTCCATCCCCACTCGTGGGTCAGGTTGGGTGAGGATGTGTGTGCTGTGTGCCATGCTGTGTGAATTTGATCTGTTTGCTCTACCTTCCCATATCCCTCCCCTGCCTTACTCTGTGTCTTGAAAGGCTGATCTCTATGGACTTCACCTCCCAAGCTTCTCTGCTATTTGTTTTTTTATGGAGGTTAACCAATGGGAGGCATTGGACAGGGTGGGAGGAGAAAAAGGTCAGGGTATTTCTCCCCTGCTCACTTCCGGCTTCTCTGGTAAGACGCTTGTTTTTCTATGACTTTCCACCACCCCTCTGTCCATTTGTCGAACTGTGGTGGCTTATGTATTGCTGTGATGCTAGAAGCTATGGCACCAGTATGTCAAATACCAGCAGGGTCACAGGTTTCAGTAGAGCTTCCAGACTCAGACAGACCAGGAAGAAAGGTCTGGTGATCTACTTCCCAAAATCAATCATTGAGAACTTTAGGTAGCACAACAGAATATTATCTAACTTGCTAGCTGTGGCCATGCCTTCAGGAAGGATCAGTTGCTAGAGGAGGGTGTCATGTGAAATAGAGGGCCAATGAGGGCTGGGAAATGCATCAGCAAAATAGCCACACTGATGGACTCAAACATGCTGGTGATTATGACAATGATCCCGACTCATAGTGACCTCTCCTTGGGTTTCCAAGGCAGTATCACTGAGGAAGTAGATTATTGCCCAATCTTCCTTCTGAGGAGTGGCTGGAGGGTTTGAACCACCAGCCTTCTGGTTAGCAGTCAAATGCCTTAGGCACTATGCCACCAGAGCTCCAGACAATGATGTAGGACTGAGCAATGTTTTGTTCTGTTGTGCATAAGGCCACCATGAGTTGGAGCTGACTCGACGGCAGCTAACGATAACATGACTCTTGCGCCGTCCGATTATCTTCTCCCCAGAGCTCCAGCTTTTTCAGTAGAACCATTTCTTCCTCTTGTCCTTTCAGCCCTAGGGAAGGTGCTATGGAATAGAATGTGCCTGCCCAAAATTTATGTTGAAGCCCTAACACTTGTACCTGTGAATGTGAGCCTGTTTGGAAGTAGAGGCTTTCTTTTATTGTATGAATGAGGTCATAATACTAGTGTAGGGTGGGTCTTAAACCTAATTATTCCTGTGAGGAATTATATAAAATAAACAGAACAGACACAGATACACACATAAGGGGAAGACAGGTATGGTGTGAAGAACCACCTGCAAGCAAAGGAACAGGAAGAAATGCCAGCAGATATCAGAAACTAGGAGAGAAGATACAGAAGGAATCAATAAGCCGAGACCCGGATTTGAACTTGTAACCTTCAAATTGTGAGAAACTAAATTCCTGTTCTTAACGCTACCCACTTGTGGTAGTGTTTGTTACAGCAGCACTAGAAAGCTAAGATGGGAGGTAATGGCTCCCTTCTGTTATAGTCTCTGGTGCTTCTCCATCCCTGGCATGTTCCTTTAAATGGGATGCCCAGAACTCTGTGACTTCTTTCATCAAAGTCTCTTGGGTGAATTCTCCTGCCAGGATTAGACTGGTATAGGGGAGTCCCACTCCCATGTGAAAGTCTGCTTCAAGTGGAAAGAAAAATGATTGCAGACAAGAGAAGGTCATAGCATGAAATAACGCCAAGTCTCACACTGAGAAAGTTATTTCTTTAAAAATTTCCCCTAAGGCAAGTCTCAATTTGTGGTATTAAGTCTTTAGCATCTCTTCAAACTTGCTAATCTTTCCTCTTACTGAAGAGAGAGTGGACAACAGTATACAGCTAGATTTTAAATACATTGCTGCTGAATGCTTTTATTTTCACTTATGGCAAGTGGTACTAGTTTTCTATTTACGATAATGATATTAATAGCTACATTTTCAAGTCAATATATATTAGTAAATAAAAAAAGTGATTCCATATAAAGAAAATATTGTATAAATAATAATGGTGGCACTTTTGAGAGTGGTGGCTGAATAGCATAGTTGGAGGCCCTGCATTATGGGACTAAAGCCTGTATTTACTCAGCATGGCAATGGCTTGTGGGCAACCTGGCTCTCTGGCAGACTGCATGCTTTGCAAGGGAAGAAGCTAGTCTATCTTGTTCAGTCCATTGACTCAAGGCCTGGGCTTTTATTATTGAATTGAATTGTGTCTTGCCAAAATATGTGTTGGAAGCCTAAGCCCTGCACCTGTTGATGTAATCCTGTTTGAAAATAAGTTTCATTTTTTATGTTAATCAATCATATCTGAGTAGGGTGGGTTCTAAATCTAATCACTTCTGAGTTATAAAAAGAAGAGATTAGACAGTGACACACAGGGAGAAGAGGAAGACAGGTGAGGGAGACAGATGCATCTATAAGAATTACACAGCTACTAGAAGCTGAAATAGATAAGGGAGAAACTCTCTGTAGAGCCATGTCCTGGAGTCAGACTTCTAGCCTTCTGAACTGTGATGGCATAAATTTCTGTTCTTAAAGCCATCCACTTGTGGTATTTGTGTTACAGCAACATTGGACAACTGAAATGCCCATAGCTGGTGCTCAATAAGCACCTGGTGAATGGATGCATGTAGGGGGAGAGGACCAATTAGCTGAATGCACCACGGAGTATCTTTGGTCCACAATTAATCATGACAGATACTGAAAAGTGCTAAAGAAATGACCATTTTGCTTGGGCAATTTGACTTTTTAAATTAGTTATCCCAACAGAAAAGTAATCCCTTATTCAAAGATCAACGATTTAAGATTGGGGCTGTGGATAATGGGAAATACCCAAAGGAGGGGATAAGGAGGAGAAACTTAAGGAAAACACAGACAAAAAAAACCCTGGAACAATTTTGGAAGAAAATACAAGAACAAAATGACAAAAAAAAAAAAAAAAAAATCAGAAATGATAAAAAATCTACAGATAGAAATCCAGAAGATTAATACTAAATTTTCAGAAATAGATAACACATTGAAAAGGCAAAGGAGTAGAATTGAATCAAAGAAGACAGAATTAATGAGATTGAAGACAAATATCTGAATACTTCTTTGGAAAGGGAGCAATCAGAAAAAAGAGCAAAACAAAATGAAGAAAGCCTAAGATTCATGTGGAATATCATCAAAAGGAATAACCTATGTGTAATTGGAATTTCAGGACAGGAACAGAAAAAGAAAAACACAAAGAAAAATTTCCAAGATTTGTTGGAAAATAATTTCCCTTAGGTGATGAAAGACAAGAATATATCCATTCAGGAAGTCCAACGAACCCCAAATAGGGTAGATTCCAAAAGAAAATCACCAAGACTTATCATCATCAAACTCACCAAAACCAAAGACAAAGAAAGAATTCTGAGAGCAGCACAGGGCAAATGAAAAGTTACCTACAAAGGGCAACCAATAAGACTAAGCTCTGACTTCTCAGAAGAAAACATGCAGGTGAGAAGGTAATAGGGTGGTATATATAAAACCCTGAAAGAGAAAAAATTCCAACCAAGAAATATATACCCAGCAAAACTGTCCCTCAAATATGATGGTGAAATTAGGAGATTTGCAGATAAGCAGAAATTAAGTGAATTTTTTAAAAGAAAAACCTTACAAAAGATACTAAAGGGAGTCCTTTGAACAGAAAACCATTGAGAGCAAACAACAACTGACCATTAATACACAAGATTACATAACCAGGAACCAACACAGCTATGGAAGTATCCAAAGTAAAATAAGCTTACAAGATTGCAAACAGGGAACCAGAGACATCAGTTGACAAATGAGGACAACTACCAAACAAAAAGAGGGAAAAAATAGTGTAGGTATAGAACTAAATGTTGAGGAAGTCAAGAGAGTTGCAAGATAGAACTGACTGTTTTAAATCTGGGGAGAAAATTATAAATCAAAGAAAAATGATAAACATTCACATCACAATAAAAAAGAGGACAAACACAAATATTTAGCAAATACCAAAACAATAACAACAAAGGAAATGATAACATGATTCATAAACAAAATAGGCTCAGCAAAGAAAATTATATGAAACAGAGAAACAAGGAACACCATGAAAAAATATATAACAAAATGACAGCAGCCAATTCATACTTGTCAATAATTACCCTGAATGTAAATGGATTAAATGCATCACTCATGAGATGGAGAGTTGCAGACTGGATATGAAAACATAACCCATCAATATGCTGTCTACAAGAAACACAACTTAGAGACAAAGACAAAAATAGACTAAAATTCAAAGGTTGGAAAAAGATATATCAAGCAAATGGCAACCAAAAAAGAGCAGGAGTGGCAATACTAATTTCTGATCAAAATTTACTTTAAGACAAAAAACACCCTAAGAGACAAAGAAAGACACCATATAATGATTAAAGGATCAATTGAATAAGAAAATATAACCATAATAAATATCTATGGACCCAATGAAAGAGCCCCAAAATACATAAATGGACTTTAAAAGAGTTGAAAAGCCAAATAGATGACTTCACAGTCATAGTGGGAGACTTTAATATACCACTTTCAGTGAAAGATAGAACAACTGGAAAGAAACTCAACAAAGACATAGAAAAGCTGAACAATAGAATCCACTATGACCTCATAGACATCTACAGAGCACTTCACTCAACAACAGCACAATATACACTCTTTTCCAGTGCACATGGAACATTCTCCAGGATAGACCCTATGTTAGGCCACAAAGCAAGCCTTAATAAATTTCAAAACACTGAAATACTGCAAAGCATCTTCTCAGATCATAATGCTATTAATTTAGAAATCAACAATAGGAAGACCAAAAGAAAAAGAGCACTCCATGGAAATGGAAAAGCACCCTCCTTAAGAATGACTGAGTAATAGAAGAAATAAAAAATGAAATAAAAAAATTCCTTGACTCAAACAAGAATGGAAGCACAACA